GGGAAGATTTCTGAATTAAAAGCTCCTGTAAATCTGTAAATGTAACCATCAAAAGCCAAATAAACGCATATGGTATTAAAACTCAAAATGCACATTTCACTTTATGCTGACCCAGAAGAATTACCATATTGAAAACTTTTCTTCTTTTCTAAATGTTAAATTATCTTAAAATCTGTATTCCACATCAATGGTGCAGCACATGGGAATAGATTTGTTTCTAAATAAAAGCACATTGTCGTGCAATTTACAATTTTATCCATTTCATAAACAATAGCATTTCATTAGATGACTCTGAAGGAATGAACATTTTTGCATCAAGGCACCAATATCCTGTTACAAATGCTAATCCAAAATATTCATTGTATAAGGGTGATTGATTATTAGAAAACCCTGTTGGTTGCAATTGTGTTGCACAGCTGAAAAGCTCACTAACTACTGCGAGAGGAAGGCTTTCATTTGGTTGCAGCAGTTTAATTGGTCAGTCTACTGGAAAGACAGGCTGTTCAATGTGAGAAATAAAAACCATGTTGCCAGTGGGATATGCAAGATGGTTTTCTCTTGTAAGCAAAAGCAAGTTCTTCAGGGACGTATTACTAACCTGCTATTGGTAAAGGATTTTGCTGCCCTCTAGTGGAGGCTTAAACGAGTGTCTGATAATTTAACCTCATGTTGAAACTTCATTCAGGCTCAAGAGCACAGGGCGGAGAAAATGGTTACATTTACCTTTTTCCCTTACAGCTCTGAAATACCTCTGCTTTAAAGTGTTTCATTGTGTTTCACACCCTTGACAAGGTGAATCTTATTGTTTTTAGTCAATGTTGGAAAATAATATGTTACATACTTTTTTTCTTTTACAACCCATATCAAATAAAAGTTTAGAGCGTGACAAATGTGTATGAGCGTATTGAAAACGTAGTTTTCTTTACTTGCTGTAATACCATTATAGTTTATGGCCAAATAATATACTGAATTTATGCAATCTATGTCTTTATATTAAAGTCCTAACACCAATGACACTGTAAGCGATAGCATCAACGTTACATAGGTAACAATGCTTTTTGTCAATAAATATAACATAAAAAACAATATCCATTAGGTTTTTGAAATTATTTTGCCTTAGGTTATTTTATTACAATTAGTATTTGGTTTAAAAAGTATCAACCTGCATGTAAATATAAGTCTTTTTCTGTACTCGCATGATTCCAAGCAACTTTCTTAACTAAAACTTTAATGTAGTATTTAAAAGTTGATTTTCCTTCATAAATATGTAAAATAATAGACTGCCAAACAGTTATTTTCACATAGAAACTAAATACAATTTGCTTAGAGTTACAAATCTTACAAACCTGTGTGAGGAAAAAGCAGCCCATAACTTTTGACAAATATCTACTGAAGGAAGTTGGTCATTTTTAAGAACCAGAACTTGTTAGTTTTTGATTTAAAAATAATAATAAAAACAAAAATAGAAAACTTTTGCAAAAAGAGGAAGGAAGCATTGTTTGATGAAAGGAAACAATGTTTGCCTTTTCAACAAACAAACTGGTATTTGTTGAAAAGGCCATGTTTCCAACCACGTGTCAATAAAAATAGATCCAAATAAATATTACTAGTAGTCTTAATGCCATTTTGTTGTGGAAATGCAATGTAATTTTGCATGAAAACACACACACACACACACACGCACGCACACACACACACACACAAAAATACACAAAAGAAACTGCTAAAAATGCATTTTTGTAATTGTTTCTGTATTTATAAACATTGTTTGATTCTTGTCATTTTAGTCAAAGTTATTAAAAGCCATTGTGAAAGATTCAAAGAGCCACTTGTGGTTCAAGGACTGCAGGTTGCTGACTCTTATTATAACATAACAGATGAGCAACACAGGGAACAACAAACTGCACAGGGCGTGAAGGCAAAAAAAAAGAAAGAAAGAAGAAAAAAAAGAAAAACATTTTGAACTAGAAAGAACACCGATTGTCTTATGTGTCTTCTTTTTCTTCTTCCTCTTACTATTATTATTATTGTTGTTGTTGTTGTTGTCATTAATATTATCATTGTTGTTCATCCAAAAATACGGAAACTGGTCACGCAAAAAATGGTATGACAAAAACATAAGATTAAATAAAGTGTAAATTAAGCAATTGACTGCCTCAGTTCAAGCTTTTATTGGCTAACAACTGTAAATGAATTGAGCCGATGACTCTAAATAAGATACAATATTAAATAAAAAAGGACACGAGTATGTGATGGGGGGGATGACGAGAGGGGCGGGGGAGGCGCGGGGTCAGGCGAAAAACACCATTTCCCTCTGTTCATGACGACATTAACACAACTAGCATGCGTGGTTGGGCAGAGCACCTTCCTGCACAGAAGATCCAGGAAACGGACGCCGCCAAGCAAATATGTTTAGTGAAATAGTGACAGGGCAGTCTGCGGCGGAAATTATCTTTCAAATTTAAGGCCCGCAATCTCTTTGTATCAAAATATAAGAACACAACTTTGTAAATAAATGTTTATTAAATATTTAATATTACACTTGTGCCATAAATGTTCTTTACGGCATTAAATCTAAAATGTTATTTTCTATGTTCTTGTTATTTTAGCTTTTACTTTGAAATTACAGCGGAAGTGTTGAAACGTGGGTACGTTAGCTTGATGCTAGTGCGCTAACTTCAGTGTGGTCAGCCAACCGAAGCATGAGGTCCGTGTTGTGTCCATTTTATCTCGTTGGCGTTACACGGTAAACATGTCTCGAGGGTGAAGGTATGGTCGGTATTTTGAGTTTTTCTTCGATTTCAGTCTGTATGAAACGGAAACGCTTCCGTTCGAGAACGACGAAGTCTTCTGTCCGTATCCCTCACCTCCTTCGCTAGCGTCCTGTGTCGGCTTCTATCTATGATGTGATTGTGAATAACTATCGTCGAGGGAAGTTATAATTGACATTATCACAGCTGAATGGCTGTAGCACCGGCCTGTCACTGTTTGTTTCACGCCCGCTTGCTCTTATTCCGATAGCCGTTTGAGTTCAGCGACGGGAGGGACCGTTTTGCTGGCGGATTGAGAGAAGAGACCGCATCCACAGCACTTTAGTTCAACGTCTGAAAAACAACAAGATGTCTTTCTTCAATTTTCGGAAGATATTCAAGCTGGGGCCGGATAAAAAGAAGAAGCAGTACGAACATGTACACAGAGACGTAAATCCGGAGGAAATTTGGGAAATAATCGGTGAGCTGGGAGATGGCGCTTTTGGGAAAGTGTACAAGGTAAGTTAAGGCGTTACGTTACATCCGCTTTCTAGTTTTAGCCCCATTTATAAAGACTCGCTGAGATCGGGCGGCGTCTAGTTGTTGAATGGAAGCAAGTGGGTTGATCTGTCATACAGCAGCAACATTGGCTTAGCTTTTGATCGGGCCATAGTTTCATTATTAGCTAGGGCCAGTAGCTAAAAAATAAATAAATAAATAAATAACACAAAATCAAATCTGCAAAAGTTAGCTGCAGAGCTAAACTGTTACCTGCCTCCCTGTTGCAGAAACGTGAAGAACCGTTAAACGTTTCTCTTTTTATTGGTCTAAATCAATGTCAGAAATCACTCTTACATTTTTAAACATGACTTTGACAAGTGCTTAGTGCAGATTATGGAAGGCGTGGTTCATAACCATTGAATAAACACTGCCGAAAGCTGTCCTTAAATGCTTACATGACATCCACTAGTTACAGTTGAGAAATGTCAAGCATTTTTCAGAACAGTTGCTTTGTAAAGTAATGACACACCCTTTTAAATTGACCTTTTCTTATATGCATTTGGTTTGTGGCATGTTCTGTTGCAGATATTAATCAGCATTACTTTCTGTAATACGCACCCTGTATTTATTTCACCAAAACAAATGGACAATCTCTAAAAATTAGATCTTTAACTGTGTATTGACTGTTGCTAGGCAGGGACAGAAACACTGAAGTTTTCATACTATTCCTACTGAGGGTGCACATTGTTCAATTAATTAATCAATTTATAAGTATTGTTGATCATTGCTGACCTTCTTTTCCACCTCTTTTTTTTTTGTTTGTTTTGTTTTTATTCAGGCATTAGCACTTCTACCTCTGTGTCCTTTTTCTCAGTCTCCCTTCATTTTTGTTTTCATAAATAATTTTTCAAAGTCCTACGCAAATAATCGGAAGAGACAGGCTGCAGTCCATGTATTGTTTGACTACTGTAATACATCCATTGGATATTTTTGATATGATTCTGCTGCCACAACAAAATGTGCCTTCAATAAATGAATCAGTGATTGATGGGTGAAATATATATATATATATATATATATATATATATATATATATATATATATATATATATATATATAAAGCCTTACTCTATTTTTGGACAATAAACATATCAGTCAAATATGCACTTGATTCTTTTTATTCTGATAATGTTTTTAATAAAGACTAAAGCAGATTAAACGCGTAAACTTTGAGGCAATGAACAGGGATGTTCTTGTAACTATAAAACTTTATTAAAGAACCACAGCCTATAGCTTGTTTTTTTTTTCTTTTTTATATATGAAATGATCTAAATTGGTTCAAATCTGAATAATCAGATCACTCTTCAAAAAAAAAAAAATATCTGAAATTGTTGTTGACCAGAAGAAGTTTGGTCAGATAATTTTGAGTAGTAAACATTCTGTTATGTTTTTTTCTAGCAGCGACAGTTGGCAGTATATTTTAGTTTATCACTCATCCTATCGTGAGTGTCTCACTCCAGCCAATGCTAAGCTGTCACTTTAAATTGAAGGCTGATTTTCTGCTTTTAGTACTAACATATTCTGCCGGACCTCAGATGTCTCCTCGACTAGGATACTTAACCAGGTTGTTTTGGACTGAGAGTATTTTCTGTCTTGCATCTTTGGCAGATAACATAACCTCTTTGAAATGACTTCCATGCCGGGCCCTGAGGAGGAGTTCTGTGTTTGAACTCTGAGATCATTTAGCCTTTTGAAAAAACTTCTCAGTGTGCCGTCTATGTGGTTCCTTCCTTCCTGAAACTGTTGTCTACAAATAATCCAGTTAATGTTCTATTTAAATCTTCATTTGCCTTTATTTGTTTCCTAAACTTGTTAGCTGGTCGGTCTAGCTGTAAGGGAAATCTCGGGGCTCCAACGTTTTTTAGCTGCTTAAGCCGCACAATGCACAACAAACCAAACTTAAGCTGACCCGGTGTTGCCTATACGGGACTACCTTCACCAGAGCCATTACTATTCTCATCAGAGTTTTTTGACAGGCCTTTGATGGTTGCCTCCTTTAGGTGTGGCTGGACTGGCTGCTTGCAAAGTGTGAATCAGCTGTTTAAATGAGTCACAAGGGAAAGCAAAAGTGTCCCTAACTCAGGCATGCATGAAGTATATGTTACAAACTGAAGAGGTGTGTCAATTTTAAAGCTCAATACAAACTACCACTGGAAAACTTTGCTTACACAGTGATTCATTTTACGTATTTGAATCAGTTTTTATGTTCAGAACTAAGAAAAACGAGCCTTCATTTGGCAAACTTTAACTGAGCTTTCTCAAGACAGTTGGGCTAAAATGCTGCGTTCACACTGACCAAAAGCAACCCAGTTCTTTGTATTTCTCACATCCTGCGTATGTATTAGGAAGGGTCTGTCAAACAGGCGTCAGCTGGAATGAGAGGAAAGAGCCGGGGAGCATGTCATGTCAGAAAGTGTAAATATAGAGCCTGACACAGCGGTAAATGTTCACACTCCCTTTTTTGTTTTTTTTCCACTGACATTGTGTCTGAATCCATAAACATTAAATCCAATACGAGCCTTAAAATAACTTTTAAAATGGCTTCCAGGTGATCATGGGTGCCCAGTCATTTTTGCTATCAGGATCTTCTACTTTGAAATGGAGGTCTAGGCCCTTCAATGATAGACTGATATTTGGCCTGACTGTAGGAAATGAAGAACAGAAGTGGAAGAAATAAACCGTAGAAAGTCACAGTTGTCTGTGTTTGGAGCAAAATATATTTTTGTTTTTATTTTGTATAATTCCTAATGTAGATTAAAGATCTTGCACAGTAAAAGATAGACTGTTCCTAAGGTAGATTTTATGTTACTCTTCATTTTATCCAAAATTATTAACGGAAAACTAAGTGGAAGGAAAAAGTGTGACAGAACAAAATGCACATTAACAGAGATAATTGCCTCCTTGAGAGGATTATGTAAAATGGGCTTTTTTACCTTGGCTTCTGTAATGCTACAGACTAATTTCCTCCGAGCAACATCGTAAAGCACAAATTAATGGAAGAGAAGCCAGAAGTCCGTTTAGCTAACACATAATCATAAACATTAACTAGTTAGAATATATCACTCTCTGTGTAATGAATCCATATAAAATGGGTTTATCTTTTTGGATTGAATTACTAAAATAATGAAGCTTTTCTATAACATTTTAATGCAACCCGCTTCCCGTTTAATCCTTTTGTATTGTTCAGGTTTTAACTGTTTTGTTCATTTTGCTTCCAGGCTCAAAACAAGCAGAACGGGACCCTTGCCGCTGCTAAGGTGATTGACACAAAGACGGAAGATGAATTGGAGGATTACATGGTGGAGATCGACATTCTGGCCTCCTGCAACCACCACCACATTGTCAAACTGCTAGACGCTTTCTACTTTGAAGGCAAACTTTGGGTAAGTTTCATAGTTCCCTGAATGGTGACGCTCTTTTCCTTTTGGTGAAACTCCAAAATGGAGCTTTTTTTTTTTCTTTAAATGCAATGTAAAGAGCTTTAATCCTCGTTAGCTAAGATAGATTTTTATGCTTCCTCAACTGGAAAATGCAAATGTATTTACATTTATGGAACGCCGGCAGTTTCTGACATTCCTTTAAGATCAACATTATCATCCAGCTATTTCTTTTTGAGCTGTGCCGTTTGAATATGTGTGCTGTACATCTCATTCTGTGAGCACTAAGAGGTCCCAGAGCAATTACGTCCTGTCAGGCGGTGTCATGTGACTGCCCCTTGTGGACCAGCAACGGCTATAGGAAAATAATGGAATGGTTTTGGTGGCTGGAGAAAGTGCCTGTGAATAATTCAGAGATGCATGCAGGTCATGTCTCTGGAGCCTGTCTCTTAAGCAGCATGATTAATTCCTAACTGCCTCTGCTTTGTCTGGGTCGATCAGTTAATGTATGATTTATTCCCCTATTCGGCTGTGGGATTTAAGTTGGCAGATTTTAAGTTGTACTTATAGTAACAAAGTGAATGCTTAGTGAAAGTGAAATCTCCATGGCATGATAGGTGTTACTAGCACTATTGCAAAACTGGTCTAACCACGTTCTTCTCATTGTTTGAATTCACAAATGGAGAGCAAAGTTCAAGTTCAGTTTTTATTTATTTTTTTATATTAACCATCTGGTGCAAAAAGCTGCCAAGTACTGAAGCAAAGCTTAATGGAGTTGAAGTGGGAGCCAAGTTCATTGAATTAGCCCTGACTGGAGGTGTAAAGCTGTCTCTTCTTTTTGTACGCTCAAAGAGGAAAATGAAACCCTGCAGTTTTATTGTTATTCAACGGATCAAACAAGAATAATTCAAATAACTCAGCACATCTAATAAGCTGATTGTCCAGAAATACAAATTTTACCGACTATTGCACCCTTTGCCATGACAACAAGCTGCAAATATAATTCATGTTTCTATGCTACAGCTGTCTTTTCAATTTGAGACTTCTAGTCAAGCATCTATGATGGCCACCCTGGTGTCTTTTCCTTGGTGGTCTATTGATCCACGAGGCTGAAAAGTTCCGACTTCAAATCTACAGAACAAAATCCTGAAGCCTCTTTGGTTTATTTATGTAACTGAACAAACTGGAGTTGACTTTTCTTGTGCTTCCGGCTCAGTGTTGGTGCATGTCTTAGAGTTTCAGTCCAGGAGCGACTGAGAGATTTGCATGGGCCTCGCGGTGGAAACTGACACGTCAGTGGCTGCTGGCACCAAGTCGTACTGCAGGTCTTTTAAAGGCCAGTGAGGGATTTTTGACCACCAGCCTTCTCAGGAATCTGGTGACCGTTGTTGACAGCTCTGTTGCCGATGTTACTTTAGCAATAAACTGAGCTCTCTGCTTTCAGCTGCATCTCAAACAACCTTCAGGGCCTTTTTTTTTTGTATCATTTTCCTTATTTGAGCAAAACAACAATCTCCTCTAAACTTTTAGGACAGTTCTCTTGACTTGGCCATATCCCCAGCATGAAGTGAAACATGACAATCAACAGGTCAGATATTCTAGGTGTTCTATCTCAGCCACACTTGTTATACCTTCATTGGTTGCATCATATGTGTCTGAGAACAAATGTGGTTTGTAAATGTGACCTCTTATGAAAAACCTGCTTCTAATTAGATTTAGATCGATATGAAATCCTTGCAGTAATGATTTAACTGAACTATCTAAACTGTTTTTGTACAATTTTATTGCAAACTGAACAATTTACAAATTTGACGATGCTCCAAAATCTATTAAATAATGTCATTTATTTAATACAAAGTGTTTTTTACTTTGTAAAAAATAATGCAAAACTAATGCATTATTTATGCAATATAATGCATTACTATTTTGCATTAAAATAATGCAAGATACACAACTCCAGCACCTCAATCAATCATGAGATTTTAGTTTCTAAACAGTGTGTTAGATTATTGCAACAGTTTGATGTTGCAATAATCTCAGAATGTGTTGAAGAAGCAATAATTGAAGCTGCACATTTAACTAAGATAATAAAAAAAAGAAACAGAAAATATGTCTAGATTAGGAGCTCACGGTGATCTGAGAGCACCTGATTGATTAGGCCCCTGGAATGTCATCACTGTCTAATCAATAAAGGCCCTGGGAGTTGAATGTCTCCTTGTATTATATTACCTTGTTTCTGATGGTCTTCCTCTTTTTTTTTTTTTTTTCAGATTCTGATTGAGTTCTGTGCTGGCGGTGCGGTCGATGCCATCATGCTGGGTAAGACCTTCATATGCTGAACAAAGTAGGACAAAGTGTTTAACGGGATTTTTTTTTTTACCATTCTGAAGTGGGAACTGCCAACTCTTTATTGCACAGGGGGAATTTTCTCTCTCCCTTCACTGTTGTTATTGTAGCTCAGGTTTCATAGCCGTTCCAACTATGTGGCTCCTAAATTCTGTCTTGTTTTGAAACAGTTTGCCTTCTTTGTTTTTAATGACAAAGCTGAACTTTAACTTACTCAACCGTTCGATGTACATCCATTATACTCTGTGGTTTAACTTGGATGCATCCAGTCATGCATACAGGATGACATAAGGTTGGACTTTGTCCCCCGTCTGCCATGGGATACCATCGAGAAATTACAGTTGATGTGAATCTGTGCAGATGGCCTAGTGTCGTTTTACTGAGTGTGCGTGTTGTTGATCATCAGAACTCGAGAGACCCCTGACTGAGCCCCAGATCCGGGTGGTGTGTAAGCAGACGCTGGAGGCCTTGACGTACCTTCACGAGAACAAGGTCATCCACAGAGACCTGAAAGCTGGAAACATCCTCCTCTCCCTGGACGGAGAAGTAAAACTTGGTAAAAAAGCTTTGCAGCTTGTTTTAGTAAATGCAGTTGACATGTGCAGATGCTGGACTAATGCACAGGCTTGCAGAAAGTATTCACATCCTTTGATCCTTTTTACATTTTGTCATGTTGCAGCTGCAAACTTAAATGCATTTTTTTGGGGGATTTTATCTGATAGTCTGACAGCAGGAAGTGTGCAGTTGTAAAGTAGAAGGACGAGAACTCTTGTTCTTAAAAGTTTTACGGATAAAGATTTTAAAAGTTTGGTGAAAAACTGTATTCAGACCCCTGATGTCCCCAAATGAAATCTTTATTTAACTTTTTGTGTTATATGCAGAATGAGATGAGTACAAACTAGCACTGCACAATAAGCCTGAACACATCCTCCACATGGTGAAACATGGTGATGGCAGCATTATGATGAAAGGATGTTCAGCCTACATGCTGATTGACACACAAACAGTTTAGATCAGTTTATGTGTCAAAATGTCCCAGTGCAACTCCAGACTTAAATCTAATTGAAAATCTGTCACAGCTTGAAAATTACTGTGGATTCTCTTCATCCAGTCAGACTGAGCCTTAAAAAAATTTCCAAAGAAGATTGAGCAGAATTTTAAGTTTCTGTGCAAAGCTGGTTGAATCCAAACACACGGTCTACTTTTTAGACATCTTTTTAAAACTGTTGAATACCATGAATAATTTTCCTTCAGCTTCAAAATTATTTATTTTGTCAGTATCACATAAAATCCCAATAAAAGACGTTCAAATGCTCATCACATGGAGACAAAAAAGTGCAAATGTTCAAGTGGTGTGAAAGCAAACTCTGGATTCATTCCCTGTGTATTTAATAGGCAACAAAGAAAACCAAGCGATGCACTTCTCATGTATTGTTTATAAATCACGGATCTGCTGCAGCCGGTGATGCATCAAATCAGTTACATAATTTTCCACCAGTAAAGTATTAATGTAGCTGCCGTAGCGCACATAGCCGCTCTTTCCCTGATGATTCATGTTCTGTAGGCAGAGGGTCATGGTGTTAGCCTGGCAAACAATAATTATCAAGCTGGTCACCAGGACTTAATGATACAGCTTTCTTCTTCCAAGACGTGTGAGAAAAAGCCTCGCTGATAGTTTATGACATTGGGAGGTTTTTGCAAAGCATGTTTGCATTAAGGAGGTTCAGATTTATGGCTGCTTGCTTTAGGTTTATTGAGTCAAATTTCAATTGAATTGAATTGCGAAAACACTTGTTAATTTCTACTTTCAGCTGATTTCGGTGTGTCGGCTAAAAATACCAACACATTACAGAGAAGAGATTCTTTCATCGGCACTCCGTATTGGTGAGTCATCCTTTCTAAATATAGGGAGGCACTCCTTTCTTTACTTCTGATTATTCTCTCATTTCCTGCTGTGTCATTGCATGTGAAGTTACAGAAAAAAACTTTTTTTCATCAGTTTAGAAGCACTTATATGTTGGACATCCTTTACTGTATCACTTAGCCTTCCTGTCTTTCCACCTCCCTACTAAATGCACACATGCAACCTTTAAATCACTTTCTATCCCCTTATTAATTGAATAAAGCCTAAAATTAGTGATTGACTGAATTTTTTTCAGGATGGCTCCAGAGGTTGTGATGTGTGAAACTTCCAAAGATCGTCCGTATGACTACAAGGCCGATATCTGGTCCCTGGGGGTGACCCTCATAGAGCTGGCACAGGTCGAGCCGCCCAACCATGAGATGAATCCCATGAGGGTGCTGCTGAAAATAGCCAAGTCTGAACCGCCCACTCTGATGCACCCCTCTCGCTGGTGAGATTGTTTAGTCTTGATTAAAAGTCGAGGTGGCACTGGGATGCTTACCGATTGGAGTTAACAGGATATCCTATGTATTTCCTTTTATGTCCAAAATGCATTCTGAAAATCTGCAATATGACTTTGGTATTTTAATAGCAAGGAACCTAATGCTTCACATATTTAACAGGTCGCCAGAATTCAACGACTTCCTGCGAAGATCGCTGGACAAAAATGTGGACAATAGGTGGAATTCAACACAGCTACTGCAGGTTGGCTTCCTGTTCAGCGTTACTTTCACACCTCTGATGTAAAGTTGATGATGTAAAGTTGGCATTGCGCAGAGAAGGGTTAATTTTTTGTGTTGACTTTCTGTTTTTTTTCTCTAGCATCCTTTTGTGACCAGCGTGACTGACAGCAGACCTCTTAGAGAGCTTATAGCCGAAGCCAAAGCTGAGGTCACAGAAGAGATCGAAGATAGCAAAGAAGAGGAAGAGGAGGAGGAACCTGATACTCCTGCGGTGGGTTATGTTGTTTGTTGCCAGAATGTTCACAATTTGCAAGAGAACATGAATTGCAAACATAAGATGCAGTAGAATAAAAATTAAGCAAAACCTGGGAAAATCTCTTTTAGTTTGAGGTTGAACATGATACCTACACAGGCTGGAAAGCAGGAAATTTGATTAAGAAAATGCAAAAATTCAGTTTAGAAAAATCTTGAATTTTGATAAAAATATTTTATTTTGTAGCTTAAAGATAATTTTTTGGGGAAAAAATACATTTTTATATTAATTTGACATTTATCTTTAATTTGCTGCATCACAACACAAGCTTTGGTCCCTTTGAATTATGTTGACTTTTTTTTTTAAATATGATCTTTTCACTGAACAACAGCAATTATTATTTTCTAGCAAATGTAAAATTATCTCATTTATTTATTTTATTAGTTTAAAAGGAAATCACAACTATTTTAAAGCCTTTTGTTTTTCTACCCATCAGGCAGTTCCTGGGCACAAAAGAGCACCATCAGATGTCAGCATGGCCAGTTCAGAGGAAGACAAAGTGCCATCTACTCCCTCCAACCTGGAATCTGTTACAGAAAAAACTGAAGCTGAGCCTGTGGAAGACCGGAGCAGCGATAAACTCTCGGACGAAGGACTCGGAACAAGCGAAGTGGACAAGACGGAGGACGAGAAGCTCAATGAAGTTTCTGCCAGCAGCGAGGACCTGACCCCTGCACCAACGGAGACGAGCAAAGACCTGGATTCTGCAAAGGTTCAACTAGTTGTTGATCAAACTGAAGAGATCTCTGGTGAGGCGGCAGTGTCAAAGCCAGATGAAGTTGTCGATTCCCAAAAACCTCCCTCAGAAGTTGAAGAAGCTGAGGAACTGAAGGAGATATCGGAGAAAATGGTCATGGAGGAGGAAACTATCCAAGACAAAATGAAGCTAGATGAAGATAAACAGCAGCCAGGTGAAGGCGGTGCTGCAGATTCAGTTGAATCACAAGAAATCCCTGAAGGTACAACAGCAGATGAAGTAGCAGTGGGTGAGGAAGAAAGCAAAGATTTAAAGGAGGAGATCACCGAACACATGAAAGTGACAGAAGACGGAATCAAAAACATCACCGATGAGACTGTTGAAAATGTTGATGCTGATAATTCACAGTCAACTTTAGTAGACACAAAAATAAATGGAGACATGGACAGCAAGTCTAGTGTAGAGGAGTCTTCCACTGAGGCTGTTTTAGAAAACAGAAGCACAGAAAATCAATCAGAGGAGACAAAAGACGAAGTCCCCGAAGAGTCCGAGCCGCCAAAACAAGAAAATGAGAGCAAAGTGGAGGAAGAACTCGAGGAACGAGCGCCAAGTGAATCTAATCAAGTCAGCGACGACGTCAAAGTCACGTCAGAAGTTTCTGAAGTTATCTCTCAGGATGTCTCGGTTAAGGAAGATGGAGAAAAGGGTACTCAGGCAGATGAGGTCACCTCACAAGACGGCGTCTCTGTCCAGGAGAGTGAAACCGACTCAGAAAGCAGGATGGAGCAGGGAAGCCCTGCTGTGACCAAGTCAGACGTGGAGAAGGACTCTGACTCAGGAAGCAGCTCTGCTGCCGATAGCAACAGCCTCGACCTTAATCTGTCCATCTCCAGCTTCCTGTCCAAGAGCAAAGAAGGAGGCTCTATATCTATGCAGGTAAAGCTAAACGCTCCTCAGCCCCTGTTGCCAAGTAATTATTTGCCTTGATGTAAATCCACCTGAATTATTTTGGTAGGAGTCAAAACGTCAGAAGAAGACTCTGAAGAAGACCCGGAAGTTCTTGGTAGATGGTGTGGAGGTCAGCGTGACAACGTCAAAGATAGTGACGGATAACGACGCCAAAAGTGAGGAGATGAGGTTCCTGAGGTACGGCCCGATGCACTGTTCAGTCTAAAATTAGGACGTGACCCGTTTACCGTACCCGCCTGCCTTAAATAGCTCTCATTCATTTTGCAACTCCCACAACGTTTTACAAATGCCAGATGGGTTATCTGCCATGATTCATGCTGTGTTATGGCACATTCATCTCTAATTTTGCATTTTAAAGATAAAACACCTTCACTGTACAAGGTCTGACTGTTTAGTATCTTTTCCTGTAAAAGTTTTACATTTTGTCACAAATAATACAAAATAGAAAGTATTATTTCAGTCTGGTTTTATAAGATAAAGCAAAACAAAGTACTAGAAAAAACATGCAAAACAAGTCTCAGCATTTTAAAACATTTAATTTTTAATAATTTAGCCAAATCAAAATTTTCCAAAAAATAATTTACAAAAACAGAACATTTTATGAAATTGATTTATCGCCCACTCCTATGATCAGATCATGAACTGAAAACTACCCAAAAAATAAAAGAAGGGGGGGAAAAAAAAATCTTTTAATGTATAAATATACAATTTGCAAATGAATCAGTTTGTTTCGTGTTCGCTGTTGTGTTGATCTGATAAGTCATTTTGTGCGGCTTCTTCAGGCGGCAAGAGCTGAGAGAGCTTCGCCTCCTTCAGAAAGAGGAGCAAAGGGCCCAGCAGGAGCTGAGCAACAAGCTGCAGCAGCAGAGAGAACAAATCTACCGGCGCTTTGAACAGGAAACTACTGTGAGTCACTTTGTTTCTACCGCAAGTGGTGTAATGTTTCTTTTTCCTTCGTTTTTTTTTTTCCTTCTCTTTTTGGCAAACTCCTCAGAAATGAGCGCTGACATGAGTAGAAATCTGTGGCATCTAGAATGAAACTCTGAAGATGTTGGTGTCTGTTCATTAGTCAGCAAACTGTCAAAGGCTTTCATACTGGATTGTTAAAAACGCCTTTATAGAAATGTCTACGGTCACCTCGTCCTGTTTCGTTTGACAGGCAAAGAAACGTCAGTATGACCAAGAGGTGGAGAACCTTGAGAAGAAGCAGAAGCAGACGATCGAGCGGCTGGAACAGGATCACACCAGCCGGCTCCGAGACGAAGCCAAGCGCATCAAAGCGGACCAGGACAAAGAGCTGTCCAAGTTCCAGAACATGCTGAAGAACAGGAAGAAGGAGGTACATACCTGTACGGCGGTTTGCGCCGGGGCTCTGCTCATTTCTGGCGTCTGCATGTCACGCGGAGCTTTTTAATGTTTCTTGTCGAACAACTTAACTGCGGCTTGGTTTGTTTCGTTGCGCCGATCCTGTGGGAGTGCTGTGGCCAGCTGCTCTGTTGGTGTGGTGTGCAGACGATCGCTGCAGACCAGCTCTAGCTTCTCCCCTAAATGCTCCTTAATCCATTTTTTTCCATATCGGTCTTAATCTGTGTTAAGGTTTCTGCTGCTTCTCTGCTCTCCGGCTTCCTCCTGAGAGCTGAATCCTCCGGAGTGCTTGTCTTTTAAAAACCTTTTAATGGAGTTCAGTCTTGCTGTCGTGTGCCATATTTCCTGTCCTTGCCTCTTCAGCGGGATCTGCTTGCTTTGCAGAGTGCTTTTAGATGTTCTGAACATTTGCTGCTTTTTCTTTGTCTTAGTGCAGTTAAGTTGTTTGGCTTCTGTTCTGCTGCTTCCCCCTTTTTTTCTTTTCTTTTAATTTTAACGTAAAATATCTCAGCTGCATCCTTAATATGTTTGTAGTTTTGTTTTTAAAATGTTTTTGGTGTTTAGACATGTAATCTAACTGTATATTGAACTAACCATGTTTGTTCTATGAATGTGTGAGTTTGTACTGGTTATGGGATGATCAGTGTTATATCTATAAAGGTGCTGGGTGTCTTTGGGTTAAGTAATCCTTGCCTTGCATCAGAGTAACTGATATGGAATCCAATAAAATCTATGATAGCCTGTTAACTTGTTCCAACACATTCTTGGTCATATTTCAACAGAAATTGTATTTACACGTTTTGGTGATAGAAATGAGTTGATACAGTTGATATAAAATGTGCACACACTCCTGTTAAAATGACATTGTGACAATAATTCATGATTTTTTTTTTTTTTTTTTGTATTTTAAACTGCTCAATTGGGAAAAGTCATACTTTTTTGTTTGGATTCAATCAGTCAAACTTTATTTAAAGAGCCCTTTATATATAGTCGTATGCAACACAAACTCTTAAACAAAAAGACAGACATTTAACCACTAGAGTTGGACAGATTTAAATGAGCAGAATATTTGTCAAGTATTCAAACTGCTAAAACAAGTAATAATTTGCAGCATTGCATCAACAAAGTATTATTTTAAGGGTTTGTCCATTTCCCCTTAAATAAATTAGTTTTTCTAGTTGAAATTAACAAGATTTATACTATATAAAGATTTATGTTGCAGCATTTTAAAAGGTGAGTGTGCACTTTAAAGATGCACTGTTCATGCATTTTCGCATGAAGTTAGAACAGCTTGTATTTAGTTAAAAAAAAAAAAAAAAACTTGTTTTGAAGCTAAATAATCTCTACTCCATGTCAGTTACTCTTTTCCTTTAATCTCGTCGGTCAGGACGTTCAAACCTGTGGCTGTGGTGGAGTTAATCAAACGCAAACATAATGAAGCTTTTCTGGGACTAACACCTTCTGGCATGCATCAGTTAAACTCCTGACGTGTACATATTGCAGTTCAGTCTTAAATTTTACAGAAATGATTTAATAAATGTCCAAAAAGATGAGGCGGAGGGGAGAAATTGGCATGATGGCGGTAAATCTGTCGGTGGCTGGATGCTGCAACTCTTCTGTCAAAGAGGGAGCCGTGCATGTCTTCCCCTGGTTGTTGGGCAGCTTTGTCAGATTTTAAGAACAATGCGGCATCAACTAGTTTCTGCTGTAGGCCGTTCAGGAGGTCGGACAGTCACCCAAACACATGAGAAAAGAGCTCATGAAACGCATAAAAGAGGACCTGGCGCTCCTCCAGACTGCAGAGGTAAAGCATTGCCTTCTCTGTTTTTCATTCTTCTGACTTAATTTGCACAAGCAATATATCTGTATTTCCTGTTTGTCTAGCTTTTTAGGTTTTAATTGGATTCTGGCCACATTTATTGGCACCACCTGGTGAAGCTGTGTGAAAAGCCTTAAAGAAAACAACAAAGTGGTATAATCTCACTCTGAAACATTTAAATGTAACTGAAGCATTTTTTTTTTTCATTTTAAGTTAAGTAAAACTTTCCGAGTTCATTGTTTATTGGGTATGTAAATTTTGACATGGCATTTATTTCTCCACCACACACAGCGATTAATGATCCATGACATATAGACAAATAAACAGCGAACGTTAAGGGCTGACCTGTAAGCAGCAAATGGTTTTACAGAGTTTGACTGCAGGAGTCCCAATAATTTTCAGGTGGGATTGAATATATAAAAAATATTTTGCCTCCTAAATAAAAATTCTCAGCTTAAATAAAAAGAGCCATTTTAGTTGTTTTTCCACATCTTTAGCAAGGATGCCAACAAATGTGACTCACTCTGTCCCCATTTCTAGAGTTCTAACTCTGTAGCCATTAAAGTTTCCTTTATCTAGTGTAACTCATTTGGAGGTGAACAATAAGCAGATTTTTATCGACTCCAGTGGTTATTGTAACATAAAAAATTGCGCAGTCATTTTATATCTGAATAGTTATAAAATTACTGAATTACGGTGCCGGTGCCTTCATTGAGCTTTACGTGGAAACATGTTTCCATGACTCCACAGGCTGCTTAGTAATGTTGATCCTGATTTCCTGCTTTAATCTACGTAAATCAAAAGGAAAATCATTGATCTTTATATTTAGTCCATTAAAATGCACGATAAAGTAGAAAACATGACAACTTATCATTTGCAGCTTTAAGTGCATTTGTTTGTTTTATTTTTTGTCACTGCAACTTGCTTTGGCGTTTGATATCTGGTTGCCATTTTAGTATTGCTGTGGTTTTCCACAAAATGTTCTATTAAAAATAGTCAAGAAGCAACCACATGAACTTCCTGCAGTATTGTTGGACGTTTGTCCTGCTTCTGCCATTTCATACATTACAGTTAGGAGAGGAGATCATTTAGGTCTTACTTGATAGATAACTGAAGAGTTTCTAGCAGGAAACATCTGAATTGAAAACCGTTTCCAAACGTCGCCTTCCAAAGCAAACTTCCGATTATGACGCTCGATTAGCCGGCGGCGTTTAAAAAAAGCTGCTCCTTTGCATGCCGGGTTCACAAAAGATGCTGAATTTATTATCCGCTTTAAAGCATGCCATTATGAGAAGTGCTTTAATAACTAATTAATTGGCTTCCTCCTAACATTTACCCACGTCTTACATAACTCTGGAAGAACTGGTTGGTGCGAGTGTGTGTGTGTGTGTGTGTGTATGTGTGTGTGTGTGTGTGTGTGTGTGTGCGCGTGTGTGTGTGTGTGTGAGAGAGAGAAAGAGAAAACTCCTCAGCACGCTGTGTGTACCGTCTGTCCGTGTGATCAAGGCGAGTGCGCTGTGTGCTCTCCTCCGCAGGCAGTGGCCCAGGTTATGATACAGTCTTTTCAGTTATCCTCATGCGCACTCTTCAACGCTCAGATGCAGGATGTAAGTGCCCCCACCTCCTCCACCCACCCACCCACCCACCCTGCTTTCTCTCGGTCTCTGGCCCATACTTAGATGTGTGTGAAGTCCAGTGACAGGATCGCTTGTGCTGCTTCACTTGTACTTTGAGAACTACACATGTAAGCATGGGCGGCGTTGGCCTTGTAGTACTTTGATGTTTTTTTTTGTTTTTTTTTTTGAGTGTTGCCGTCACTGTATTTGTGCAGTGGTCGTTCTTTCTCTCCTGCTCAGTATTTTTCCTTCACCAGTTCACAAATGTTCTACATCTGGTTTGTGTAGCGTACGTGGCATTGATATCGTGTGCATAAAACTGGATGGTGTTTGTCTTAATATGCTGGTAATGCAGGTTTTGAGATCTTCTGGCTGAGTATATATTTACATCTGAGGAGCAGTTATACTGAAACTGCCCAAACGGCGCATGAGAGTCATTTGTTCAATGATTTAAAGCGGCGTAATAAGGTTACTCTGAAACAACAGACAGATGTATACCGAGCTACCTTGTTCTGTACCAAAAGCTTGTCTTTGAGAGCAAACGGTGTTATGATGAAGCACAGTGAAAAAATTCAAAAGTACAGATCCACCAGTCAGAGATTTTTGGCCAACTTCTGTTCACCGATTTTGTTTTTATGATCTTATTTATAATCTAATCTTCATCTGCAAACTCGGATTTTAGTCGGCGATAATTTGTCCTGAAGAATGATTTTGTCTGGCTCAATTTAAAGATTAACAGTTTGAACAATCAAATGTTTATGGTAATAAAGATATGTGGAAATACAGTCAATTTTCACCAAATTATTTGACAAGACATATCTATGACTAATTACTCTAAAATAATAAATTTCTGAATTACTTTAGATTTTATTCTTTTATTTATGTATATTTTTGCACATGTCAGAATGTCACAATTTTTACTGTCCAATTTGAAATTTTGCCTCTGATTTGCTGTTGTGCTTCCTTTGACTTTATTTTGAAACACTAATCCAGCACTGAGGTTAGTTTAGCCTTCAGCTTCCCGAAAAAAAGATTGTTGCTACCTGTTAGCTTTAACGTAGGGTGTGTTTACAGGGCGGAGAAAATATAACGTTTAGTTTCAAAGTGAAATCAGTCATTTCTGTTTCCCAGCTGATTTCCTTCCATTACTCAAAAGCTTATAACTACACAGTGTCTCGTTAGAATGATTATGTCAGTCTTGGTTAAATGCTCGTCTGTACGATAAAGTTCATCGCATGGAATCATAAGTAGGCAATGAAGCTAGAAACTGACAATTTGCAGCCGCATACTACAAAACAGAAATGCCAAATTTTTCCAACAGTTCAAATCCGTTGTTTTCTCCTGCTGTCTGAGGCGGTCACCTGATGAAATCGGCCTCAGTTGAAGGGTGTGTGCTGACATCAGTGCAGGTGTTTTCCTCTGAGCCTCTCCCCCCCCCCCC